TGACCGCTGCTGAGTTAGAGAACATCATGATTGATCGGGATTCCAGCATGTCGTATTTTGGAGATGAGGTGAGGACAACGATTCCCTGAGCCCAGCCCCTCTTTTCTAGACAGAGCAGAGCAGGGAGATGTACAATTTTTAAATAAAATGTATCTCCAGATACATTAACGAGGCATCCAAACTACTCCATCCAAACAATGTAAGGAACGCATTCATCTTAGCTGTGTTTCAACGTATTGATAACACTTACAACCTTAACATAGTGCTAAAAAATTTCAAAAACTAGAGGAAATACTAATGGCGTATACTTGAAATTATACGTAATTGAAGAAAAAGAAAAAAATAATTATTTAGAAGTTGATTTATGCTTGAAAAAAAAACAAATATTGTTTTAACATTTGTTTTATTTTATATTCACTCCAGTAAAATGTAAATATGGCTGAAATGCTGCACAATTTGCGGCTGCTTCAGCACAACCTTGAGCTGGAGCAGCTGGATGAGGAGCTGGAGCAAGCAGCACTTGATGTACAACCGGCCTGAGGCCTCCGGGATAGGGGCAACCTGTTAGAGGACTACGAAGATGAACCATTCAGACTGAGGTACTTTAAATTCAAATTAATGTAAATTGAAATTAAACCCTACAATACAATATCATAGTACGAATATGAATTCAAATTGCCCATTACATTACATACTCCTCCCTGACTCCCTTACAAGTTACACCCTAAATCATTTCCATGTAATAGACTGCAATTGTGTAAGTAAGTTTGTCAGTCAATAGGGAATTTTGCTCACAAGGGAGGAAGGTGTATTATTGAGCGGACATTCAGCATTTGGAAGCATCGCCTCATTCTAAGTGTTCATCTGAATATAGTATTTCCCCTCATTGTTGCCTGTGCAATTTAGTGGAACGTATCCATTACTTGAAGAGAGCTCGACTAACAGGACTGGATGCTTTGGAAGAGGCCGGAGGATGAAGATCAATGTTGGCCTACATCACCATGATGAAGTTGCAGGACGTTTGGTTGATTTACATGTCACACGAATATCTTACTAAATTAAACAGAGTTTGAGCAGATCGATGCTTTAATCATAATGCTGAAAGGAAAATCTGAAGCAGTAATGTCCTGGGAAATAAGATCATGTTGCTTTTCAACCAATCTTGCCAACGGTGAAAACATATTCCTGTATGATATACAGAGAGAGAGAGCCGAACAAAATAAGGAAGCTGTGCTCTACGGAGGAATCGACGAAAAGTTATCTTCGCCTTGACGAAAGGCAGATCATAGAGCTGGGAACCGAATTCAATGCGTGGAGGGGGGCGGGGCTCCGCGGTATCGCGAAATCAGAGCAGATGTTGACGACATTGCTGGATTATGTAGCACGAGGTGGTGTATGAGTGAGTTTATTCTATGTAAATATTCTACTTCATGACGTGTATAAGCCTAATAGTATACTAGTGAAGAGAGAGAAGGCATCCCTTAGACCTATACAGTGATGAACAAATATTCAAATTGAATAAGATCAGCAGGCAAGGATGCCTTCACTTATTAACCGCCAATCAGTGAGAATCGGCCATGAAACACGAAGGAATTACGCACTGCCCCCCAGTCTCCAAGTTTTTGTGGCATTACATTTCAAAGCTAATGGCTCTGTGATGGCTTGCACTAGCTGCATCCATCCATGGCATCCACACATATCAACAACATTGAGGACAAAACGAAGAGTGACTCTAGCCATACTTGGGATAGTTTCATGAAGAAACAAACGCACTTGTTGAACTGTCATGTAACGAGCATAATGGATATCCAAAGGGCAATATCAGATGTCGTATCAGAAATAGTTACCATTCAAGTTAAAAAATGAGCAAACCGATCTCATAACCCTTGCCATAAAGGGGAATAACCAACTGCTGAATATGACAAAGTCAATGATTGATTCCTGAAGATAATGAAGATGGATTTGGTAATTGCAATGGTAAGTGATTATATGAATTGGATGTTAATTAATTTTCATACTCTCTAAATTATCAGGGATCTGCTGAAACCCAAGTCCTAGGCAATCGGCCTCTCCCATTAAAAGTGGTACCGATAGGTCAGAATCATTGTAAGAGACCTGTATACAGTAGAGTGACAGTATTAACCTCTTATGCTCTCCTTGTATATATATATATATATATATAAGACATCTCAGATGAGTCTATAACATTTCTCGATGTTACAGTCAGTGTGGAGGGTGACACTCTTGCGACTGATATTCACTACAAACCTACGGACTCGCATTCATATCTCAGGTTCGACTCTTGTCATCCCCCATCATGTAAGAAGGCCATCCCCTTTTCACAATTTCTGAGACTAAGACGAATTTGCAGCGACGACACTAATTTCAAGTCAAGAGCGAAGGAGATGAGAACTTTCTTCTCTGACAGAGGCTATCCCGACAAGATCGTCGAAGGGGGAATGATGAAGGCTAGCCGAATCACACAACATGACGCTCTGACTAAGAGACGTAAGGATTCTAATTCCCGCACCCCTCTTGTACTCACGTACAACCATACATCTCAGCGAATTGCTAAGGCCGTACGTGAAAACATCAACATCCTCCGGGCTGACGAGACGACTCTTAGTGTATTTGGGGCCAACCCATTCATCACGGCGTACCGGAGGGGGAAGAACATCAAAAACGAACTTGTCTGCTCAAGACTTCCCAGTCAGATACCCCACAGCATCACTAATCCTGGTACCACTCGGTGTAAGCGTCCTCGTTGCAAGACCTGCACCCATGTCTCATCCCATGATGTGGTGGTCCCCAGAGGAACTTGGCATATATCAGAGGAGAATTCACATGTACCACCACTAATGTCATTTACGGATTGACATGTACCCGCTGTTCCATGGTGTACATCGGGGAGACAAAGAGACGCCTAGCCGATAGAATCACGGAGCATCTGCGTTCCATACGCCTGAAGACAGCTGGACTACCTGTAGCTCACCACTTCAACATCGGAGATCATAATGCTGATGACCTTCAACTATGTGTGCTGAAATCTTGCCGAGATGAGAAAGAAAGGAAGCTGATGGAGGAGAGGATAATCTTCAAACTTGGCACTCTCCACCCGGACGGGATGAACGCCACTTTCAGATCTTTCCCTAACTCACACTGAACTTTGTTGAACTTTAATATCTTTATTACGTCATAATGCTTTTTCAATTGCTTATTTATCTTTTTGTGCGCCTCTTCTTTTCCTTTTCTTTTGCTTTCCGCGTATCTCCCCTGGAGATACGCTCTTCTAACGCTCCCTATATTTCTAATTTTCTCCTATTTTCTCACGTCACAATGGTCCAACTTTTGAGCTTTGTGACGTTTCTCTTTTTCTCTTCTTTCGCGTACTCTCACGCGCCTTTGCATCTTGACTACCAAGCGTCGCCTATATATTTTTTATTTTGTATATTGTTGTTCGTGCTTGAATCACTTCGATAAAGGGCTATGCCCGAAACGTCAGTGGAATATTCACTTCTCCGGTGTTTTTATTTATCTACCTTGTGTCCTATTCATTTTATGCACCGACGCAGAACCATTTATTTTTACATTATATATATATATATATATATATATATACATATAAAAGGCCCCACAAGCCGAAAGCTCGTAATAAAATTGTTAAGTACAGCTACGTCTCACGTTCCTAGCCCATTTTCTTCACATATATATATATTTTTTTCTTCCATTTTTCCTCTATTGTCTCTTTTTACAGACCATGGTCGTACCCTGTAATCAGTGCAAACGAGCCTTCAGAAGCTACCCAGAGTATAATTACCATTTGCGAAAGGTACATGGACCGTTATTAACTTTAAAGTGTGGAGTGTGCCCGTTCGAGGGAGAGGAGCGAATGTTAATGCTAAATCATTACAAACAGCTTCACAAGGAAGAGCTAATTCAAGTGGATTTTCTGGGGTACACATTAGCAGGACCCAGATACCAGGACAAAAAGGAGACAGAGGAGAAGGCAAAAGAAGTAGAGCAGAGACGAGCAAGAGAAGAGGGGAGGACAAGAAAAGAGAAGCAGGTGAAAAGGGATACTCGCACCGCTTTACTGCGGAAGAAGAGACAGCTGCGGGATACCGAGTACAAGGATGTTATCCTGGGAGAGCATTTGGCCTCATCACGCGCCAAGCTCCTCCACGTCGTGAAACGAGATGAAGAAACTGAGAAAGTGTGGACAGTAGGATGCAAGATCTTCTGCACTCTACAAAAGGATCTGTAGAGAAGAATCCCCAGAGTATTTAAAGATAGAACGCAGCCCCTTGAGTTCGGAGATAGAGATCTTGAAAGAAAGTACAGATTCACTAGAGAAGGCTGTATTACATTGATAGACTTGTTAACTCCCAAACAGAGCCACAAGACCCAAAGGAGCAAGGCAAGATAGAACACAGCCCCTTGAATTCGGAGATAATGATCTCGAAAGAAAGTATAGATTTACAAGAGAAGGGTGCATAACCTTGATAGAAATTTTAACACCCAAATTGAGTCACAAGACCAAAAGAAGTAAGGCACTACCACTACAGTTACAGATTTTTGTAGCTCTAAATTATTTTGCCACTGGTGCAGTTTTGGACAACACCGCAACCACACACGTGTAGAACGCAATACTGCATCCTGCACCGTTCAATATGTAGCGGAAGTCAAAAGGTCAAAAGGGAAGACAAAAGCAGAGTAGAACAAAGATCTGATTCTCTTTTGGACCTTTGTTTTCAATTTTCAAACAAACTTGGTTTCTGCTGGGGGAAGCCAGCGAGAGTGGAAGGATGTAAGGAAGAAGTGGCAAGAGATTTTGTTGTTGTTAATGGTTGATTACTTCTTTCAGGAGGAGGACCAGCACCCCAGATGAGTGTCATCTTTGAAAGGGTGTTGGAGGTTTTGAACCCCCAGTGCCCAGATGGAATCTGTGGATCACAGGTTGAGGCCAGCATAGATGTGATTGACACACTATAAGCCAGTACAATAGTGTAATTGTTCGTAGATCAATCAGGTGGGTGGTACAGGCACTCAATTACTTATCATAGGTTTTGTTTAAGCTTGGATTGTTAGAGCTCTTGTGAGTAATGTGCTGTGGGATTCCATATCCTCAAACTGCTGGCGAACAGAGCAACAAGATCTAAAATTTGAGGAAAACCAAGCAAAGGCCAAGGCCAAGGAGAAAAAGAGGGTTTTCTCCGAAACACAAACCCTGTACAAGAAGAATCCCCATAGACTCTTTGAAAAACTTCTTGATGGGAACGATGAAGAGAAGTGATTCAAAGAACCTATACGGACAGGTTCTCAAGAGAGAATAAAGAGGTAATTGACATAGGAGCCTATGTCGATCCCGAGACTATGGAGGATAAGGAAGGGATAGTGGACCCCATCAGCAAGGTTGAAATAGAAAGGGCCATCTCTACCACGAAGAAGGGATTTGCACCTGGACCGGACGAGGTCACCTATGATGCCCTAAAGGCCTATGGAAACTGCCAGCTATATTTGTTAATAATGTATAATACATGGTTAGCTATGGGGAAGGTCCCTGCAGAGGCATATAGATCGATTCTAATTCCCAAGGGAAAAGGAGATCCCACAGACATCAACAATTTTCGTCCGTTAACACTTGCCAATGTAATCAGCAGATTATATTCCAAGATCTTGACTAGGCGGCTGGACCGGGCGGTAAGTGTCTGTCCAAGCCAGAGAGGCTTCACTCAAAGAGCAAGTATTGAAGATAATACGCTTATCCTACGGCAACTTATCATGAATAGCAAGAGAAACAAAGAATGTCTTGCAGTGGTACTTTTTGACTTAGCCAGGGCTTTCGACACCGTTTCCCATGATCTCATCATCAAGACCCTGAGGAGGCATCGAGTACACGAACACCGCATCAGCATCATAATGGACCTCTACGAAGGGGGGTATACGTCTTTCACAACAGATGATGGCACCACTGACCACATCACAATCCGAAGTGGAGTCAAGCAGGGGGACTCTCTATCGCCGACACTATTCAACTTGGCCCTCGACCCGCTACTAGCTACGCTCGAGCAGAAAAGGAAAGATGTTGAGATCATGGGACACTCATTCGTCAGCCTGGCCTATGCAGATGACACAACACTCGTCTCGTCCAGCCACTTAGACATGACTGCCAACCTAGAACTAACTGTAGAGTTCCTCAACATGACGGGACTGAGTCTCAATGTGAGAAAATGTCAGGGTTTCTTAATCACCCCAACCAATAAATCGTTTCTGGTCAATGGGTAATTTTTGGAATATGATTTAGTTACATTGATCAAATCATTTGTCTATTAATATATTTTGAATGGCTCAGGTGGAGGAACGGAAGCAGAAGGCATGGGAGGAGTGCGAGGCTTTGCTGAGAGCTCCTGGTGGATGCCAGCGCGAGTGGAAAGATGTACGGAAGAAATGGCAGGAGTTGAAGACCAGGGCCCTGACATGCACCGTTGCCGCAAGTGCAGAGAGGAGCTTTATACTTTTCTGGAGTTAATTAAGGCACACATGCAAGACAGGCATGATTCAGATCTGACGTACAAATGTAAGAAGTGCGATTATGAGAATGAGGAGGAGGAGTCATTAATTCGGCATTAAAGAAGGCAGCATAACATGACCGGGAAAGAGACAAAATACAATAGGTGTAATGTGGCCTCGATTAGATTTTTTTAAAAGGCGAGATGGAGAGGAGAGGAGACAGAAGAAAAGCAACAAAGAAGTAGGAAAGGGTTGATAGAAAGGAAGAGGGAAGGAAAGAGAGAAGCTTATCCCCAAGTATCCCCAATCATGCGAGTAGAATTTCAGGTCACTAAGTTGAGATCAAGAAGGAGTTCCACCAATATAGAGCAGAGACGAGGAAGAGGTATGGAAGGTTCATAGAAAGGAAGAGGAAAGGAAAGAGAGAGGGTTATCAAGTATCCCCAATCATGTGAGTAGAATTTCAGGTCACTAAGTCAAGGTCAAGAAGGAGTTCCACCAATAAAGAGCAGAGACGCAGAAGACAGGGGGCCTCGATCTACCAGGCGAGCCATCATCGATGAGCAAGATGGCAAGATAAAGGAGATGTGTCCGATGGACTTTGTCCAGATAAACGATCTATTCGACGAGGATGCCTCGATCACTGAGGCACCTGTCACGGCCCTTGAGTGTTAGAAGGAGCAATTTGTTCTCACCAGTTAGATGAAATGACTAAAAATTCTTACTACTTATTTGTAGATTCTATAACTAGCTAGACCTTGCAAAACAACGTAAACAGCAATATGTTGTTTTACATGCTCACTACTCCAATTTACAGTAGAAATGTCATACAAATTCTGCGCGCCAGCAGGTCTGGACCCGGCTGCACAACCAATACGAGCAGTGTACAATGGATGAGTGCATTGTACTAAAGGCGCAGCAAGCATGCAAGATTTCACTTGGCTTTTATTTTTCCTAGTTATCTTGCCGTTCATTACAATCTAGACTTATTTCACATCAAAGCCCCAAATACATTACATATCTCTCGAAAAATTCATGTATGTTCAATCAAGTTATAAATAAGAATTCAGACAGTATTCCATGAGGAACTGCTCATCGGTCACAAACCGCCAGAGGGCTCCTAGACGGTAGGATGTTCCTCTGCTTCATCATCCCTGAGATCATCCCCTTGGACTGGAGGCTGAACCCTGTGATCATTCTGGTCCAAGTCACCCTTGCCCTCTTCCCTCTGCTCTGTAGGTTGTTCTTCTGCAGCTCCAGGCCCCTGAGGTGGGAGAAGAATGTTTTCAATTTGTTTTTAATCTCATCATGAGGAATGTCAAAGTTCATTTGTGTATCAGAATGTCTTGCATGACTCTACAACATTGATGCTGTGACATACTGTAAAGGCTGTTATTTTCGCGCGATTAATTTTTCGCGCTGAGAGACCCCTAAACATATTCGTAGGTTCTTAAATTCGCTTTGCACTCAATTCAGCCCATTCAAAACACACATAAGAAGTCATGCTTATATTTTGGCAGGTTTCAATATACGCGGACACCAAAGTGTAGTGCAAAATTTGCTTCAGGGTCTATATTGGGTTAAGGTCAGGGTTGTGATTGCGATTTCGTGAGGTTTGCTCCATGGTTTAAGTATGAATTCCATTTTTGTACGAATATGTGTCACAAAACTGCAAAATTGACCATTCTTGTAATCTTCAGTCTCGCCCCAAAATGCTATCTTCCAGACCTACCCAGTGCAACGATGCATGATGCGTAATTAATAAATCTCCTCTGTTGAGAAGTAGCAAGACTAAAGGTTTCAAATCATATCAATACACTATAGTTGTATTGTATTGTATTTATTTCCGTCAGCTAAAACAACAAGTATACATTTACAATCATTAAAGACAATAAAGACTAAATAAAGATATAAAGACAGTTAAAGTTGCTGAAGCTTGGGTTTGTACGCACAGAAGCGTAATACCCATTGGCTCAGTGTGCTGCCCTCTATATACCCAAGCTTGAGCAACTTAAAGACTCACACAGGCTCTTACAAAAGATGTACTCACCTTTAATCTCAGCCCAAAGTACTGATGAGCTAGCCTCCTGCCCTGCTCTGCGTGTATCTTCCTATCCTCCTCAGAGAACTCTCCATCTACCTTCTGGACTGCATCATCCACCAGCCCCAGAATGAGACCACGAACGTAGAGGGCCACATGACCAAATGGATCCCGTTTCAGGGCCCATTCCTGTCGTCGGATAGTCTGTTCGGGAGCAGGACCTGGACCAGGGCTTGGACTAGTGCTGTTCCTGCGTGGATAGAGACTAGAGATTCTCAGATGTTGCACAGAGAAGCAAGTGTTTTTTTGAGAGTACTGAAGCTGTGACATAAAAATCTATTTTAGAATTTCTCATTTTTTTTCTTCATTTTCCGAAAGAGCATCAAAAATAATGTCCAAATGTGGAAAACCAGTTGAAAATGTTAAGTATTGGCTGAGATATGACCATCTGAATGAATAGATTTCCTATAGGAGCTCAGTGTTATATTGCTCTGGTTCATAACATTATCAATTGGTTTTCGATATTTGGACATTATTTTTGATGGTCTTTCGGAAAATGAAGAAAAAATTGAGAAATTCTAAAAAAGATTTTTTGATGACGTTACACTTCACCACTCTATTCAGATATGAAGAAGTTAACTTACAGGGATTTATTTTAAACGTGTTGAAATTTTTGTCATCAAAGGAATGAAGTGGAGATGGATGAACTCGGCCTAAGTTTAGTTTTGTATCATAAAAGCAAATCTTTCCCTCTTTGGTTAGAAACTAATAATCAAAGAGCATTTATAATCTGGAAAAGGAAGATTTATAATAACCAGCTATATTTCATAGAATAAATCAAGGCATTATGTCACATAAAATGTTATAAATGTATCCAATCGTTTTGGAAGTTGATTACTATTCGATCTTCTATTTCGGTACAACATGTCTCTCTTTCTTTCTCTGTCTCTCTCTCTCATTCTAACTCACTCACTCAATTTACTTACCACAACTTGAATGCTTTGTTGACAGCCATTCTCTTTCCCTTTGTGTTTCTGTCTGTCACTTTGATGACATGAACTGAAGTCTGGTTCTGTGAAGACAATGAAATATGGAAGATATTGATAATTTGTATACATTGTATACATAGGGAAATCAGGACGAAGAGAGAAAGAGGTACTTTACCGTCTTTAATAAAAAAAAAAATTGCCCCCACCCCCCCCCCAAAAAAAATGAATATCAAAGAAGTTATTTTTTTTGCTCAAAATATGAACCCATACGTGTCAACCATCCACAGCAAATATTAGGGATCGCTCACATTAAAAAACTAGATGGAATTCGACTGCCCGCAGTCGAAAATGATGCCTCCGTTAAAGAGCAATTTTACAAACCAAAACAGAAAAAAAAAATTGAATTCACGTTCAATGGTAATCCATTGACAGGTTCTCAGAATATTGAGATTACAAGCAATTTCTCATATACATATATGACCCTTTGATCTTTGACCTCATGACCATAAAATCTACTCAGTTCATTGGCTCTGCAAGATGTTCTGAGTTAAATAGTAATCCATCTGTCAGTTCTAATGAGAATGCGTTCACAAGCTATTTTTGCATACATAATGGGCCCATGACCTTTGACCTTTGACCTTATGAACCAAGAATCTACTCAGTTCATTGGCTCTGCAAGTAACAAACATGACCTAATTTTGGCATGAATCCATCAATCGGTTCTTGAGATAACGCGATCACAAGCTGTTTTTGCATTCATAATGTGCGCTGTGGCCTTTGACCTTTGACCTACGTGCTCCAAAATCTAATCAGATCGTCTTCCTATGGTGATACACACTATCACTAAGTTTGAAGTTTAAATCTCCAGTGGTTCTTGAGATATCATGATAACAATCTCAATGTATGGAATTTCATAAGTTGACCTCTGTGACCCTTGACCTTTGACATACGTGCTCCAAAATCTAATCAGATTGTTTTCCTATAGTGATACACACTATCACTAAGTTTGAAGTTTAAATCTCCAGTGGTTCTTGAGATATCATGATAACAATCTCAATGTATGGAATTTCATAAGTTGACCTCTGTGACCCTTGACCTTTGACATACATGCTCCAAAATCTAATCAGATCGTCTTCCTATGGTGATACATACTATCCTTAAGTTTGAAGTTTAAATCTCAAATGGTTCTTGAGATATCGCGCTAACAAACTCAATACAAGGAATTTCATAAGTTGACCTCTGTGACCTGTGACCTTTGACCTACGTACTCCAAAATCTAATCAGATTGTCTTCCTATGGTGATAAATACTATTCCCGAGTCTTAAGTTTAAATCTTAAATGGTTCTTGAGATATTGTGATAACGGTCAAACGGGACGGACGGACGGACGTACGGACGGACAACCCGAAAACATGATGACTCCGGCACCACCTTCGGTGGCGGAGGCATAAAAAGCAGAATAGGGAATGCATTTTTTGCCACAAGATCACGTTAAGCATTTGATTTTAAGTGGATTCAGCGCCTCACAAGTCTCATTTATTTGTATAATATCTTATTTACTGGGTGTAAGCTACAAATATGTTTAAATAATTTAAATAAATCTCATATATTATTATTATATGAATTTACACAGAAGTCTTAAGAAAAAGGTAGTAATCTGAAATTCATATGACTACGATGAAGGGGAAAAAATGGGAATCATTGCTCCATAAGAGGAATGGTTGGCAACATTTAAACTCTACATCCCAGGGATGAAACCATTACACTACATCACACCAACATTCAGGATTAAACACACATGTTGCCTTGGGCTTTGAACCCATAACCTTTGTGCTCTACTCCCAGAAGGTCAAACCACTAGACCACATCACACCAACTCACCTCAGCATACAGCATTACATATGTGCCACCTCGGGTCTGGGACAGAGCCATGGATGCGTTGAAATAGAGTTTGGTGGGGGACCTGGGGGTCCACTGGATAGGGGCAGGGGTGTCCCCCTTACGGGTGGAAAGGACCAGGGTGCCGGTGTTGACCGAGAAGACCATTAGCGCCCCCATGAGGGTCAGGTAGATGTAGCTTGAGCCAATAGCATCAACGGTGTTGCTCATCTAAAAAGGGGATGGGGGAAGAATAGGGCACAGAATATTAGTATATCAATGAATTTTTGTGCGTACTCAATGAAGTATATGAAACATGCGCAAAACTTATTTCTTAATTTCTTTTATTTTCCAAAGAAAATTTGTATTTTTTAATCATTCCTGAGCAAGAACAAAACACTAGATTTGAACAAAGAACATGTTGTGACATATCAGTAAAAAAAATTGTTACATCAGTTGCACATGTCTCCATTAATCTAGTAATACAACAAATTTGGTTTTAGAGGTGTGTGTGATTTGGATTTGACAGACATGTATCAATCAGATATGATTATTTATGTCTGGGAACCGAACTTCAACATCCCCATGTGAAAGACGCGACTCAGTTGCAAACCTGGATCCAATCAGACTAAGTTTGTAGGTGAAGACCGAGAGCCGATTATACCGAGGACATTACGGCTATTTTGCCCTCAAACCAAACCCCTTACCCCTGTACTAAAGAATGGCCATGCATACTCACAGCTTTCAAGAAGTGTCTGAAAACATGTCTTTTCTAATTTGTTTTCATATTCCTCTGTGTTTGTAATTAATGTAAACTTTCTATGATAATGTTATTTTTTGTTGTTTGTAAGTATTTCTGATTTATGCACTTTGTATCTCATAAAATGGCTCTTTATAAATATTAAATTATTATCAGTATTATTATTAGACAGGGTTTAAATTTAGACCGCCTTCATAAATAGTAGCCTCTATCTATTTTATTTTTCTTTCTACACACCTGAAATGAGCAGACATTTTCCCTGAAGCACTGCTCATATTCTTCAGGATTCAATTTGAATTTAGTATGCCTTCATGAATACTAGCCTCTATCTATGTTTTTTCCTGTTTTTTTTTCCTACACACCTAAACCGAGCAGACATCATCCCTGAAGCATAGCTTGTATTTTCAGCATTCAGTTTAAATTTAGTCTGTCTTTATGAATACCAGCCTATTATTTATCTATCATTTTTTTTTGTTCTATTTTTCTACACACCTGAAACGAGCAGACATGATCCCTAAAGCATCGCCCGTTTTCTTCAGGATTCAGTTTAAATTTAATTTGCCTTCATGAATACTAGCCTATATCTCTCTGTTTTTTTCTTTCTACACACCTGAAATGAGCAGACATCATCCTTGAAGCATCGCTCATATTCCTCAGAGGTCAGGATGACATCAATACGCCTGTCCACTACTTCAAGCCGGCCATCAAGCTTTACAATGACAAAGGTGATGCGACCAGCTGTTCAGAAATGACCAAGAGCAAAAGTAGTCAGGAAATGTTTTATTCTCATCATTTTTTTATTCATATTTCTTGGGAGTCAAAAGAAGAATGCACTTGGCTACCATATCAATCTGATGAGGTAGTTTATTTAAGTATGAAGGCTATATAGCTCAAAACGAAACAAAAAACAAACAAAACAAAACATCATGTCTGTTAATGTATGTTAATTCACACAGTTTACACAAGAATAAAACAAGATGTACTCACATTTAGGAGGGAAGGGTGAAAACAGGAGCATGAAAACCAGTTCTCTCCCCGTAGCCGATGGGTGACATGCCAGAAATCGACTTGCAGAATGCTACAAATGAAGAGAAACAAAGGTAAAATGAAGTTAAAATGGAATCACCAACCCCCTTCTAGAATTGCTGTCAAATGGTAACCTTCAAGAGTAAAAACTTTGTTTTAATGATAAATTGGGCAAAAAATATATTCTGTTGATGTAAACTTCACAGCATTTTTTAGTCCAAACAAAATTGTTCAACACAATAATTATCTGTTGCAAGTTGCACAAAAGGATTATATTCTTACACCCTTTTACATGGCTGGCAAACTGTAGGTTTATATCCCCCCCCCCCAAAAAAAAAAGTATGGTATAGGCTGTATCATGATGTGAATAATGTGAACAATTTAAAAAGAAAAAAGAAATGCTGTCACTTCTCCTAGTACATCTTCGACTATTTGTGACAATTGATCCAGAATATCATAACATACACAAAGGAAAGTTTCAAATAAAACAAAAATACTAAAGAAGACATCATCTAGTTGAATCCAGAAGGGCGTTCCTCATATACTTTGACACAGACTTAATACTGTTATTGCAATTATTGCTATTTAAGTAGAAAGGGCTTTTTTTTCAAAATCTCATTAAGTTTTATTAGTCCATATATATTTGTTTAAAAGCAAAAGTTTGCAAGTTGTTGGATACATGCCGTAATTGCAATTATTGCGACAGGCCGGTAAGGGCTATATTATAAATCTTATAAAGTATTATTAGTCCATATTCATTTAAAGCAACAGATTGCAAGTCCTTGGCTGCCAGCAAAATGGCAGCTCCTGCCACTGACAATACATAGCTATTACAGCCTTCTGACAGCAGCTGACAAAGTATGTATACAATACATATTTGCTGTGTACACTTGTATGTCATATTCACCTGTACAGGTTTGTGGAGCTGACTGTAGTGTTTCAACAGTAGCCCTGTAGTCTTCTGCCTCATGATGATGTGGAATGGTGACCCCTTTGCGTCAACAGTGTCTGGTCTGTATACAGTAGTCTGAAACCAGAGAAAGGGGAACATGTCAGGAGGAATTTGAGAGAGATTAGGGTTAAAACTCTCATTAATTCTAAGGGATAATGAAAAGTGGGATGGCGACGCTTTTGCATCTAGTGTCTGGTCTGTATACAGTGGTCTGGAACGAGAGAAAAGAGAACATTTTAGATATAGGTTAGGATTGAAACTCAGACAAAAGAAAATGAAATGTGGAATGGTGACCTCATCTTTCATCCAGGGCCCAGTCTGTATACATATACATCTAAGAAAAAGAGAAAGGAGAACATGTCTGGATGATACCGAGAGGGAACACATACATATACATGTGATTTTAACACACTGATCATTGAGAATAATGGGCTCAAGTGTGGAACCCGAGTCGACCTTAGGTTCCTTGAAAGCTCTTTATTAAGCGAGTACGTCTTATTTAATTTGACGTTCTACTGTTCAATGAAAGGTAATTCAAATGCAATATCTCTTTGTGGAAGTAATAGTTGAAGCTTACATTTTGAAATAGCCATATAAAAGACATTACATCAAAGAGTGAAACATGTTTCGGTGATAGGTACATATTATTCACCCCTTGATAAACCCAAGAATTACCATGCCCGGTGCCAGCTGATAAAATGGAGCCAGACATTGTCAGGCCCTCGACAGGGCCATATTTTTAAATATTTTTTTTAGCTTACTATTTCCTGCAGGTCTGATATCTTTGTAATATTTGTTGTTTTGTATTCATGTATATGTTTGTAATTTTGTTGTACTATTTACAGGGACCCAAAGTATAACAGTGTTTTACTCACTGATGGGGTCACCCTGGGTAAATAAAACAAAATAAATAAATAAAGGGATTACGTCACATGAAATGTTATAAAGAGGAGAGAAAGAGGGGGGGGGGGGGTGAGAGAGAGAGGAAGAAAATAAAAAGAGGGAGAGAGAGAGCCTGAGAGAGATGGATAGTACATACAAAAGGAAAAGGAGAGGAGAGAAGAGGGAATTCAAAGGGGAAAACAAAAGAAGAATGTGACCTACCTCCCTGTCCTGTTTCTTATTGAAGTCTGTGAACCAAACTTGATTGATCTTCATATTGCTCCACTCAATCTCTGCATCTTTCCTGTCCTCCTCCAGCTCAATCATCATTCTATCCTTGTTCTTTCCCTTCATCTTCTTCTTCTCAAGGGCATAGTCATCACTGAAATATATCTAGAGAATTTAGGGGGAGGGGGTAGAAAAGAAAACATATAACATCTTATTATTATTGTTACTATTATTATCATTATCATCATCATTATTATTATCATGTTCTCCTTCTCCAGGGCAAACAGGCATAGTCATCACTGAAATATATCTAGAGATTGAAGGGGTGGGGGTGGTTAGTAGAGAAGCGTACAAAATTTTATCTATTATTATCATCATTATCTATACTACTAATACCACTAATCGCCGCGGGGGGTCCAAACGGGTACAAAACGGTTCCTCAAAAACGTCTTTCCTCGACCCCGCCCGCCTCCGCCGTGGCGCGGGGAGGGCGGCACAATTCCACGAGGCCTGTCTCCCGTAACCCGCGTGCCACCTCGACCCCGCGATCGACGTCCATGCCGTTAAACGCGGTTTCGGGGTGCCGGGGAGGACGGGCGGGCGAGAGCACGGCGGGCGTCGTGGATTGCGAGGACGCGACGAACCCGCGAGAGCGAGTCGACAAGGCGTGCACCCGCCCTCTGTCTAATTATCAAAGAGAGACGAAGAGACACACGATGGACGAGAATCCACTCGCGCCAACGGGTGTAGCAAGTCTCATTGTAAAGATTGCGGCGTATTTCGAGTAAGGCCTCTTGCTATAGGATTCGCTTTGTAGCATGTAAGAGAAACACACATTAACAGATGACTCACCCGGGTGATGGGATGTAGCCATTATGTACGGTCAACGGGTTGAGCTGACCCGTGCTATGCGTCTTTCTATAGGACATGCTTTGTAGGCCAGGCGCCCAGTGTACGTGTATTACACGCTCTCAGGTCACACACATGCACACACCACAGTCGATTCGAGTCGAGGCGATTGCGACAACTGGCGCAAACCATGGACCTATTTTCACGTAAAATCTTTACTCTGATCTATGCCAACATAATCATAGTCCAAGCTTCTGTTTTATTGGTCTTTTCATGAAAACTACATCGAAATCACAACAAGAATAGCGCAAATAGATCTGTGATAGTACGCCTTCACGTGACAGTTCAGTTGCAAACTGCCTTGAGTCCACAGTGTATTGCCACGGCAGCTGAGCGCTGCTGTCGGCGGTGCTGTCGGAGTGTGTGAGCATGGAGTAGCGGTGACCGGAGTAGCCAGGTCTGTCCGTGGTGTAAGGAGAGTCTAAACAACACTTTGAAATTGCTATTATTGCCCCGATTTCAAAATAGTTTCGTGAATAGATGTATGAAACCTGGGCTTGGATTGTGATTATTCTGGCCATGTATAGTTTCACAAGTTTTCACAAGAAAATCAGACGGTCGTCATGGTCGTTTAAAAACATGATAATACTTTTAGTATGATACAGTTCTTGCATCAAATCAATTTTTAAAGTATGGGGGGGAGGGTGGTGAGGTAACTCCAAGCGATTTGAGTGCAGGCGTGGTGTCCACGGGTACAAAGGGCTGAACCCCCGAAAGCTCAGGGGTTTTAGGCATTTAATTACGGTCAGATGAGCATATTTTTAATGCCTTATTTGTGACACTGGCAGGTCGATCACTAATTGGCGTGGGGTCCATAGTAGAGTTGCGTACCAACTACGCTGAGCTGAGAGTACGCTGGCCTACGTTACTATACCCTGAGGGACGCAAAAAAGTACGCAAGATGGACGCAAACAATTTAATATATTTAACAAAATTCGCGTACTTTCGGCGTAGAAACTTGACGCAGAAGGTACGCCTTTTTTTACGTAACACTACGCTACTATACTAAACAAACTGCATCTTTAAATGAATTAATGAAAAATTAGCCCAAGAAAAATGAGCCCCCGAAAGATAAAAAAAAGTAGCCCCCCAAAATTTTCCAAAAATTTGATATAGATCGAGTCCCCGAAAAAAAAAAATCTTTCACTGGATTCTACGCTCACAATCCCACACACAGGCGAGTCAATTTGTGCACAAACCGTCCGATTTTTTCGCGTAAAATCTTTACTTTGAAAGTAATTATACACATTTTGTGAACAATGCCAACATAATCATAATCCAAGCCTCTGCATATGTAGTCTTTTCATGAAACTACATTGAAATCACGACAATAATAATGCAAATAAATAGTAATTATCGAGATCCTATCTGACATAGTTTGTTTTACGATGCGCCATTCATGGTCAAACAGCATATATTATAAAAATTCTCTATATAAAGATAATCTAAATTTTTTTTGGATAGCACATAGGCCTCTATCTATCTATTTGGCCCCCTCCCCTAGAATCCCGTGGATTTTCCACGGGTCCTGCTAGTTATTGTTACTATTCTTATTTATCATCATTATTATTATCGTTATCATTATTGTTACTATTCTTATTATCATCATCATTATCATTTGTTCGGCCTTTAGAATTGAAATTCGTAATCGATGGATTTCAAGTGCTTTTTTAATAATATGGTCAAAATATAGTCATAATATTTTTGGAATGAGGATACTCTAAGTGAGCAAAGTACTCAGTGGTATGGAGTCCATGCCGCCACATCTAAATGTATCTGCACACATGTGGCAAAACTTTTAGGGGAATCCATCAATTGATTCTTGAGATAAGGCGATCACGAGAACGGGACGTACGGACAACCCGAAAACATAATGCCTCCGGCTACTTTGTAGCGGAGGCATAAAAACAAAAAACATTTTTTTCATGAATATATTTACCTCTGGTGTTTCATTGTTCATTGTCGAGTACATCTCATTTGCCATTTCTAACCAGTATTTCTCTATCGGTTCAAACCAACCATAGTGACTGATTTTCCTCCTGTAAAACATAATACAGCATAAACATTAAAGGTAAAGATCAGTTATGGTCGTGCGATTGCATTGTGAAAGATTCGATCAGAAAAGGTTGATCATCTAGCATATAAGTATTGGTGTGTACTGCAAGGTTCTGGAATCATCAAAATGATAAGAAATTTGGCCCAGTCTTGGTAAAGTTACAAGCACTGTACACAGAAAGATGTATATGGGACTACGCGAAACGTGCGCGATATCTATCAGGTCCAAATAAATATAATAATTTACCAAATATATCAATTAGTAGGTGGTTTCTCAGCATTATTCACATGATTGGTAATAAGAGCTTCCATTTCATTTTTGAGAGGGGGGTATTTCCAAAACTGGTCTTTACCTTTAATGATCATAATTTTGTAAAATTTTATATCACATTACATAAAAATAGGGTATTTTTACAGATAGCATCTTAATAGCAATGAAGCTATCATGTGACACTCAATAGACTATATCAAAAGGAAATTTACCAATTAAACAATACAATTTTTCCTTCTTCTTCTCACCTGGTGTATTTCCAGATGAAGATATAACCTTTAACATCCACAGAAATCATGTTGCCATAGTTACCGACGTAGCCCAGGTAGATGACGGCATGCTTGTGTGCCCTGAAGAGTTCCACAGAGATGTCTTGACCGATCGTATCCCCTGCTCCTTGAACCTAGGTCACAAAGAAAGAATAATAATTGTATTTATTTTATTTATTTATTGGTATATAATGATCGACCAGCAGCACAAGGCTGAAAGGGTCAATTTACAAAGGTATATAGCATATATAGCATATAGCATATGTATATAGCATTACAAAACATAGTAAATAAATCTGTAACATTATGACAATACAGAAAAATAGCGTTCGTTTATGTACATTATATAACCTGCATATAAAGACCACTCAAGGGTGATAAGGAAAGTGGTCCTTGTATGCAGGAGGTCTTAATCTTCAGGTTCCTTAACAACAGGTTTCTATGAGAAAAGATTGTCAAGGGAAACAAAAAATATGGTCTTTAAATACAGGTGGTCGCTAAAGCAGGTTTCACTGTAATACATAATAATATTCTGCTCTTGTAGAGCACACATCATGTTATGATAAGATGTTTGGGGATATCAACCTGTATTCAGAAGAGACATACCCATCAGTGAAGTACACTGTATGTGGGCGCTTGGGAGAAAAACAGAAATTATTGACATATTTTTTACACGACAAACAGGGGAGTTGTGCATGAATACGTTTTGATTTATTTCAATCATCCGCCATTCTGTTTCTCTTATTTTCTACTTTCGTACAAATGAACTTGTTACAAAGGTTGGATTGCCCATTAATCATAGGTAACATTAATAATTTGGGGCAATGGACAAAGTAATCAGTTCACAGGGTTAAAGACAGCAGGATTACTAAGAATAATAAACACTCATATATAAAATATTTCTCTAAAGCAATATATTTATGCATAACCATAGCCATTTCCCCCCCCCCCCAAACCACTTTTAAATTTACCGTTAACAAAGTAAAGTATACATTTCATTTACAAAATTGCAGGCATAAAGAATACCATTTCACCTCAAATTTGGAGTAGGAAACACGATGATCTCCTTACTCCTAAATTTGTTCCGTCTCTGTAATGTTCTGCATTGTACTTATAGAAGCATCATATACTAAACTAAATTCCATACTCACTGTAGGAAACATGACATTCTCTGTATTCTCAAAGCTTTCTGAAGTCTCTGTTATCTGATGTTCTATATTGCACTTGTAAATGTCTCCACTCTCAAAGCTCACGACGAGACTATTCTGTAGAAAAGGAATCATACATATAATATATTTGTTATCGATATATCACAGAGTACCCAGCAAGAGAACAGTTAAGGTACATTTTTGTTATTTTTTCATACATTTAATTGAAAGGAAAGATAAATGCTATAGACATGTAACCTATCAGTGTTAGGTCAAACAGGGGTCATGTTGATGATCTCAAAGAGAGGTCAAAACTTTTTAATATATTTTCTTTTACCGCAATATGTCTGTATACTGGTTTTGGGGGGTCACGCTATTTTAATGTGATATTGTTCCTGCAGAGCGTGTTTAGTTTGCATCTCTGCAGCCAATCATTAAGCTGTATATGACACAGTAAATCACTTAGAAAGAAATACCACTGCAAATAAACAACATGAGCATAGTTGTATTACATTTCTGTATATTACAGCACACAGATATTATGCTTTGGGGCCTTTGTTTTATGTATCTTTCTTTTCAACAGCATGTGCCAATCATATCTCATTTACACATAACATATAGTTTATGTTTGAATGTAGCTGTCTTTTTAAGATCATGTAAGTACAAGGCTTTAGACACATATAATTGATCTACTATACAAACAAATTATCAGTTTGGAGCAATAAAAGCTTTAAATAATACACTTAATTTAAAGCAGTGGACAAATACATAATAAATATATGAAATAATTAAAGAAGTGGGAGCAGAAAGTAGGTCAGGGTGCACAAAAGTAAAATGGAACAATGTTGCCCGGAGGCATGTGCCCCTGCACTTACTACTCCCATTTAATCACTTTTTAAACAGATTATCAGTTTGGAGCAATAAAGGCTTTAAATCATACACTTTAAAACAGAGTTAAAGAAAGCCCTTGTTGCTCCAAGTAGATGAAATGATCTCTTCCATTTACCTGTGATCCGATGAGAGTGTGTGAGGGATGGAAGGCAGTCACTATGGGTGTCTGGGACTCTGTCTGAGCTACACTGCGGGCTAGAGGACCTGTGAAGGTATGGTGATACGGGTTGTAAGAAGATGAAGGACATGTGAGAAGGAGGTAGAGAAATGAGAAGGAGAGGAGGAAAGGTAGAGAGGGAGAGGGGGAAAAGGAGAGAAAGGAGGAGAAAGAGGGAAAGAGGAGAGAATTGGGGGGGGGGGGGGGAGAGGAAGAAAAATAAAAAGAGGGAGAGAGAGAGAGAGAGATGGATGATACATACAAAAGGAAAAGGAGAGAAGAAAAGATGGAATTCAAAGCAAAATAATAAGAGAATTGGACAGATGAAAAGAAAGACAGAATTTATATTAGGGGAAGTAGAGCAACGCAGAAAACTCTTTGCAGGCTTTCCCTGACATAAATACAGCAATGACCAAGGTATCCAAACCCTATGTCCATGAATATGCCCTTTCAAATATACAAGAGAAAGAACATCTGAACATTTCTATGTAAACTTGCCTATTCTACCAGCAGTATCTTTATAATGCAATAACTGTTCCTCTAAACTCTGAATAATGCACCGACACACTGAATTACTTTTAGTCAGCACACCTATTCTTCTCAAGCAAAAGTGCCCTCACCTTCTTGGAAGTCGAAGTCTTCTGCATCAGGGTCAAGGGCTAGAAGGAGGGTCAACTGCGAGGGCACTATCTCATCGTTAGAGTCTTTAAAATCAAGACTCCTGCTGTCTTTGGTGTTGGAGCCACCAGGGTGTAATGACCACATGAAGACAGACCCCTGTCAAACAAACCAACAGAGAGATCAAAGAACAAGGTCACCTAAGACACATATTTGTTGGTTTTCATGAGGATTTGACAAGCTCTGGCTATTTACCCCAAAATAGCATTTGTTTTATAAATGTAATGCTTCCTGGGAGAGAATTAAATTGTTTAACTGGGTGTTAGCCACAAATATGTTTAAATCACAGATCGATCAATCAAATCTTATTTACTGGGTGTTATAGCCACAACATTTTTTGCATTTTCTTCTGTTTTGTGATCACTTAACGTACATTTTTCATTCTACACTTCTTTGCTATGTATAATTCTGCTGTGACATGATCTTTATTATTGTTCAACCAATGGAAAAAGAATTTCTGATGTATGACAGATATGAAGCTGTAAACCATGGCAGTTTTCTTATGATGACCAAGTGTTATATGCTTCATATATCTGCATCCTGTAACACAGAGCTCTGTGAATGCACATAGGACCTTTGTTGCATGCAGTTGCCATGCATACACACGCAATAAAAAGCGAAGGTTTTGGGGGAGTTTTTTGCATCAGTCTACTGCGTCATATCTAAAGCAGCCTTAACAGATATTTACTTTTACGGCCGACAGGTCTTTTGGAACACACACATCCTCCATCCACTTCAAAATAGAAGTCGGTAAGGAAAATTCATCATCACTATTTCAGGACCCCAAGGATGACAGAATGGTTTACAAGTCTTTTGTAGAAACTTTTGGTGGGAGTCGAACTTTTGCTGCTGCAGCTTAGATCATGCAAATGGCAATTTCTCGATAATTCAACTGCACATGGAAAATACAATGTCCATAAAATAGGGGGAAAACAGAGTTAGCGGACATCTTACAATGCAATCTGAAAACTACATGGAAAAGAGTAGGGTAGCATAACCAATCATATTTCAAAACCTACCGATTCATTGAGACTGATGATTCGATTACTGTCGAGGCTCCATGAGATCTGCATGACTCCATCTGATGAGGCGCCCTCGTTCTTTATGTAGCGGACAGGATTGGAGGAGTCGTACCAAAGATCAAAGATAAATATATCACCTGGGGATGGGATGAGCAAGCACAGGAAATTACATTCAAACCTCCAATTATTGAGGTGCCGTGGTCGAGTGTTAAGTCGCCGGACTGTCGATCACAAGGTCCGCAGTTCGAGACCCGCCGCAGCACTAATGTCCTTTGGCAAGACATTGATCTACATTTGCCACACTCCACCCAGGTGATGTATCTGGGTACCTGGCAGGAATTAATTCTTTGAAATGCTAGAGTGACGTAATGGCAGCATAGCTAAAGCCGGGGTTATTATCTCCGAAGTTTGGAAGCACTTAGTGATTCTAATAGGCGCTATATAAAAACTGAGTATTATTATTATTATTCTTATTATTATTGTACTTTCAAATTGTTTGATTTTACCAAGAGGGAGCAATGCTGTCTTCTCAAAGGATTTCTCTTCTATGACCATGCTTTTACATAATTAGATAAAAGTAGGAAGTTTTAAATCCCCACTGCACTACTTGTAGCTACTTGCGCCCTCTATATAGCAAACAATGCCTAAGCGGTGACTGTTGGTCCCCCATGGTCCCCTTTTCTTATGTTAATTGAGAACTGATTTGACGAGATAACCACCTGTCAGTGACCATGCAGGGAGGTCTAAAACTCCTGGCCAAACTAGCGTTGATAGGCTTTAAGCCCCTTTTAATGATGCAAGGTATTGTTATTCACTCAATGTTATGTACCCGGTACTGAAGATATTGTAAAATGAAAAGAAGTTTCCTTCCCTAATTTTTAAAATCAAAAGCAACCCGATGTCAGGGTTGACCTCTGACAGTACCTATAGCTATCATTCTCTGCGTAGGGGAGACTATCATACTTAAGACCAAAAAATTCTTTTTGTCACATGACACATGCATGATGGAAGGATGAATGGTCAAGATTCAAATAAGGTTGTATTCATAACTTGTCAAAAAGTCAAAGGACTAAGGGAGGGGGAATGGGGCTGTCCTCACAGTTTCCTGCTTTTTATTAAAATCAAACAGGCATCTGGGTCGACTTCCCCTTTAAACCTACCTCTGACGGTACCCATAGCTATCATTCTCTGCGTAGGGGAGACTGCCATCGTTAAGACACCAGACACTCTTTTCGTCACATTCATGATGAATGGATGAATCGTCATGAGATCAGGCTAGTTCACAGGACAATAAACAAAAAGAAAGAAAAATGGAAACAAATTAATGCTCAGTCAGTATGCTCAGTCAGTATAATGTAAAGTCCTGAAATCAGTCATGTGTTTTGGGGCATTTACATTTTTATATTGCTCTCAAATTGCTAAAGAATTAAAATGGTCCTATACTCAGATATACCACCTGAAATCAAACTACACTGTTGCCCATAAAGTTGGAATAGTTTGCATTTTGCATTCAACTTTATAAAACATACCATACATAGACACATGGCATAGATAGATGTCATAACATGATAAACGGACAAAGTTTTCAGTATTTTCTTTGACTCCCATAGAGAGGGAAGATATCAATATCTTTCCTTTGCATACTGATCTCCATCATTTACTGTTGTATCTCTTCTGAAACTGATAAAGTGTACTCCTTATATCAACACAAGGCCTTGACTACAACACTGTCTCTTTAGCAAACCCCCGTTTCCCCTGACAACCATGATAAAATTCTACCTGTAAATGTTCTTTCTCCCGTTTCACTTCTAAAACTGCTGTAGTATACTCCTGGGGCCCGTCTTATAAACAGTTGATATTAATCACAACTTATTTGCGATTTTTGCAATCGATATCAATCGCAACTATGTACATAAGATATAAGAGACTGCAAACTTGCGATTGATTGGAGGACTTATGATTGACTTGGATCATCGCAAATAAGAAGGGGCCCTGATATCAACAAGGACTCTACTACAACAATGTTTCTTCAGCAACCTCCCCTGTTACCCCTGACAAACATGATATAGATTCTACCTGCCAGTGTTCTTTCTCCCGTTTGATGTAGTTCTTGAGCGAAGGTGTGAATCGTTTCTCCGTCCAGAGCTGGACAGGAACCAGTCTGGCCATGCTGAGCTTGGTGCTATCATGGTCAGCGGTAATCCCAGACCTAGGAGATTTAATGTGAGTAGTTATTAAGGAGATGATTGGTACTACAAAATCAAGAGATACCAAAGAAAACAAACATACTATAAGCATCTTGTCTTGCTCATCCAAGTTAGTTGCTAAATAAGCCTCGATCCACTTATATTGTCTGGTTTTGGCTTTTTGTTATTCATGCGATTTACTCTCATGAGGGCAAGACAAAAAGCTATAGTGTGTCTGTTTTTGTTGCTATTTTAAATATTTATTGTAGTTCACCAATCAAAACAGTTTTTCCATCTCACAAATAATTTTTTTTTTTTTTTTTTGTATGTTCTATCTTACTTCTGTTCGTTGTTTTTAATGTAGATGCTTTTTATATGATCTCTTTTTTGTTTGTGTGTCACAAGTGCACCTTGAGCATTTGATTTCAAGTGGATTCGGCATCTTATAAATCTCATATATTATTATTAAATACTTACATGACACTGTCATTCTCTGAGTCTACGTAGTGAACAGTTTGGGTATGCTTCCAAACAGTGGACCTGTAATAAAGGAAACCAGTGACAGATAATGTTATTTCAATACATTTCAGAAATTGTAATTCCAAATTTGAATAAGAGGATAGTTGTATTATACATACTTCTGTTTACTGTGCCCCTGTGGCAAGTGCTCTGCGGTCAATTCCCTACACTAACCACATTCCTAACTTCCAACCCTGGACCAAACACTGTACGTCACCCTTACCCTAAACTTAATTGGCCTAAGACCCAAGTGCACCCCTAATCCTCTATCTTTGAAGAAATAAAGCCTGCAGCAAATTTCAGATCAGACAATTGCCTTACCTTTTCTTTCGTCTCTCCTTGCACATGTGGAAGTAGGTCGCTGTGATAAGGTCATAGGCAGGGTCATCGTCCTTTCTGCCTGCTTGATTATTTGTGGCGATAGTCTATCAGAAACAAAATTGACTATTTAATGATCATGGAAAATTATTCATTTCGTAAAGGTGAAATCCGGGGAACATTTAAATATAAATTTCCTCAATCACTTTATGCCCACACAAACTTTGTAGTGAAGGAAATTACTGGAAAAATTATTAAAGAGTACCCCACCTTACATTCTTATATCTTACAACACAAGTAACTGTAAGTATGTTTCATTCATTGCCATTCAATGCATGTATGTTTTATTTTATTCTATTCATTTAATCGTTCTGGTATCCGACTTCGCCTTACCCCCACCCGCCTTCCACGATTCAGATATTCATTTGTACCCGACTCTGTTCTTAAATTCAACTCACAGGTTAAACGTTAAACTTCTGCGTCGGAAATTAATTAATACTGAAACTATTATGATTTGAAATACCAATGACCAAGGTTTAATTTTGAAACTCGTGATTTGAAGTACCAATGACCATTTTTGTCGCTTCATTATCTTTTGCATGTATTTGTTCCTTATTTCATCTATTTCATTCTATAAACGTGATGTATTTACATCTTTTAATCATGTATTTTCTTGAATATTACTGTAAAGCCAGTGGAAAACAAATTTCCATGTAACTTGTTTGCAAAGACCAAATCAAATATCTTGTATCTTATATCTTCTTTGTTGTACCTGACTGCTAAAAAAAGCATGGGTATGCTTGTAGGGAAGCAACCAGGGGACCAACGGATTAAGGTCCTCTCCGTAGGACTTGGTAATGAGGATTTAAGCCTTACCAAAAGGCACTAGCGCATCGACTTAGTTTTGAACCTGGGACCTCCTGGTTAACAGACCACTGCCTCCCGGTCCCCTATGCTATTCATTTAACAACAGTTAACTGTGTCATGTGTTAACAAGCCTCAAATCATACGTTTTTCTGAATGTGAATGGTAATACAAATCTGGATTTAGTGTTACCTCCGCTGAGTTGATGATGAGTCTCTGAATTGAAGATTTCACATAGTCCTCTGTGCTGACCCATTCCTGCACCGTCTCCAGGCACATCTTAGCCGTCATCTGTCAAAGCAGAAATCATACATGTACATGTGTATGTAATCAGGCTTCTCACCAGTGTCGAACAAAGATAATATAGCTTTGGGGCTTGATTGATTGATTAATGGTTTAGTTTACCTGACTGCAAAGGAAGTAAGTGTATATTTGTAGATAAGCATGCAACCAGGGCAGTGTTTCACAAAACAGTCATAAGTTGGCCGAAAACCGATTGAAATGCATCAAACATGATTCAATTGTATGTTGGTGAACTTGTACTTATCATGGTTTCATAAAATGATGCTTAGGGGACCTCTGAATTAAGTCCTATCTGTGGAACTTGGTAATGAGGGCTACTGCCTTTATACCAAAGGGCACAAGATTGTTTCTAGCCAAGGACCTTCTAGAGAGACCGCTGCTCCAACTCTGAGCCATCATGCTGCCTTACAGTAAAATTATACAGTCAGATTATTGCTGACATGGGTACTGACATTGGACATAAATGAGCAAATGAACCAAACTGCTTTGGTTGCCCTAAACCGCCCCCTAGGATGCTCCAATTGCAACTTTCACTCAAATTGAATCAAAGATAACAAACTTCTGGTGAGAATCTTGATTACCTGAAGGAATATCTCCTCTGATATGAGTTGCATGGCTCTCTCCTTGCTCTGGAAATTCTGCGATGAATCATAGTCTTTCTCTGCTGCTGCTAGAAGCAACCTGAATGCAAACAATAGGTGGAGATAAGAGATGTCATATTAAATAATATTCAAGATTACAAAAAGCAAGGCAGCAATCTAAAATAACAAAAGGGAAAGACATATTGTATTTCATGCGGGACTTTAGAACTACTGTGAACTATCACTCCAAGAAACTCCAGATACTTCTTAGACAACTACCCCCTAAGAAAATCATTGTCAGACAAAACACATGTTCCCTTTGCAGGTTCCGAAAGGCGGAAGTGATCAGAAAGTTTGTCCTGGGGTTTATTGTAGTTTGGAGGGTGGAAGATAGTTGTCCAGTTGTAGCACGGTAGCAAAAGTGAATCTCTACTCTCCATGTCTCTTTCCTCTGCATTCAACTTCCTGTCGATGTTTAGGTTTTACAAACTTATTCAACAAGTGCCTTGAGCATTTGATTTTCAAATTATCATCCTTATTAAAACTCAACTACTTAAATTCATATTCCGATCAAAATTGTTGAAGCATGCACTCACCTCGTGATATCATTTTTCTTCTTTGACTTTGCCCTGTCGCTGCACTTATCCACTACTTCATTCACCACATCTACAAGAATATCCCTGATCTGAAAAATCAAAAACAAAACCATTTTCAGTAATAAAGAGGTTTTAGTAGTTATTACACTCGTTTTTTCTAAGAAAAAAAAAATCAGGTGTCCTACTCATTACTGGATGAACAAAATGCTTCATGTATCAAAAGAGTATTTAATTTTTCCTGGGTAAAATCAATTGTTAACCCCTCTTCTATTGCTAGCATCAGCCCCCCCCCCCCTCCCCCTCCCAAACAGGAAAGAACAAGAAAAAGAATACTACTCAACATTTCTCCACTCTTTAAAAGGTTACCAGAAACAAAACTGTCAACAAGTACCTTTATACATAGTTAATAAAAAAAAAAATTTGCACAAATGTGATCAAGTAAAGCCTTCACTAAAACAATGTTTCTCTTAACACATCACATCTAATAGCAAAATATTGTAAACTGAATTCACCATATAGTACTGTATCGCCTGTGTTGTTTCATAAGAACGCTTGGAAGACTGTGAGACAGCTGTGTCCAACTCCCTCTTGTCTCTCTCAAGGTCATTTCTAGATGATTAAAAGAGAAGAAATAAGAGGGAAATACCCTAACCCTTATGAAGAAATTCTAAGGATTTCCATGGCCAAATAGGACATCTATGAATAAAATTGATTACTAGATAGAATATGTCTCTAATAAATTAAGATCTATTGCTAATATCCCAGTTAAACCGATGTGACCGACACCAGACCAACACATAATATATTACCCTCTAATGGCCAAAAATTGTTTGGTGTGAAATCGTTTTGGAGTTGGGTTTGCCGATGTGATGGAGCCATTCTTGGAAAATTTGAACACTTTGTGTTTAGTTTGATAGCTTCAATTCAATTGTTAGAGCAAAGATAAGCCATTAGATCAGAATTTTTACGCTGCTTGTCACGACAATGGAAGTAAATTATTCTGAATAAAATATCAACATTTCCTCCCATAATCAATTTCCTGGGGCAACACACTTACTTTAAAAGCAATTTCATGAAATATATTCTTGAGAAAGATACAAGATTGTGATGGTAATCACTAGAACTTATGCATCATAGGCCAGATAATAACACAGTGAAACCTGTACATATAAAGATCGCTTAAGTTAAGTGAAACATGAAAAGTGGTCTTTATAGGTAGGGGGTCTTTATGTACAGGTTCATTCAGTACAGGTTTCAATGACAAAATATTTTCAAGAGAAACAATAAATGTGGTCTTTATAGACAGGTGGTCGCTAAAGCAGGTTTGACTGTAGCTAGTACAAAGGCCTTACTGTAGCTTACCTCATTTTTCTCAGGTTTGCAAGAATGCGTTGCTGCATCTCTTCAGGAGTTTCTTCGTGATCGTCAACTCGCGAGGACGAGGAGGTGGGCGTGTGGATCGGATCTGGTTTGATAAAGATTCAAGATTTGTAGCAGCGTGAGCGATAGTTTATCTTTCATTATTTATTTAGGCCCTATACGTTTATGTTTCCACAAGGTTCACCACTGGTTTCCATGCAGGAACAGAGCATAAATTAACAAGAGGACACAGTTTTTATCCATGATACCCTAAGCAAAGTCACCAGACATTTCATCATGGCTTCATGTCAACAAAGGTATAAGTTTAGTGTTTAGGCTGCACTTAACACTTGAGGTTAGGCTTAGGGTTGGAGATTGGTATGGTATTAGGTCCAGGTTTAATCATAGTTCAGAAATTGGTTGGTTTGGAAATTGACTGCGAAGCAACTGTCACTGGATTGTGGAATTCAGTAAAACAAAATTAGCAATCACAATAAAGATCCCAAAGAATTGTTCTGATTGGGCATTTTCAGCACAATATGAATGACACTCATCAATCAGTATGACATTTGAATCTTAAAGATGTTCATGCGTGGGTATATATAGTCGTTCGTGAGGTAGGCAACTTGGAGATCACTACATAACACTGAGCTAACGGGTATTACGCTCCCGGGCGTACGTACATGTGCTGCCCTCTAGATATACCCATGCTTGAGCAAATTTAACTCACGTAAAGGAGGTGACGGGATGTTCCATCTTTTCCTTGCTTCCTCCAGCTTCTGTTCCTCCTCCTCGAGCTTGAGTCTTTCTTTGGTCAGCTTCTCGATCTGTTTCTTGGTCCATGCCTGCTCTTTGGCGTAAGACTCTTGCCTCTGGACCAGTTGCCTTTCCAACTTCAGGTCGTTCTGCTTGGAGCTCAGGTCGGGCGTCTGTGGCACTGTACATAGAATATTGAAATGTAATGGAAATTATTTATTTCATAGTTTTCATAGTGGTCAGTGTTTCCACAATTTCTTTTCAAACTGTTTCTAATCCTGGGGGGTGTTTCACAAAGATCCTAAGTTGAACTAATCTCTAAGTTGAACTTAACAATTATGGAAAGCTGTTAGCATCATTGAAAATATTTTGTAACAATTATTTTAAAAGCCATAAAATGTTGATTCAAATCAATCATATTTTCTATCATTATGAAAGATTTCATGTTCTTGATGTGGAATTTATGAAAAGTCTAAAATACTTCAATTTTTGCTTTTGAATATATTTTATTTCAAGGCTACAAATGGCTCTCGATAATTTTTAAGTCCAACTTAGATTTAAGTTTGACTTAGAATCTTTGTGAAACACCCCCCTGGTCTTTTGACAGATATACCAGTTGAGTTGGTAACCAAGACAATATGGAGTCCATACATGTGACACGAACTACAAAATGAATGATATTTTACAAGGACTACATTAACTATGTTCAAAGTAGATATGGAATGTGTAGACTAATTCATTCATATGCACTATGTCACTATGGCTCTTTGTAGCATTTTGAGGATAACTTTGTCTCTGGGCCTTGCCTTTGCGCCCCCCCCCCCCCAATAAAAATACATCACTATGAGTTACTTTATCTTTCTTTTAACCATTTTGAGGGTAAATTTTACCCAAGGCATGTCCCTACTTTCCCTCCCCTTATTTTTTAAACTTGTATTATGACCATCATATTAAAAACTCACTGATCCATTTTCTTGGCCTGGCTGCATCCCCTTTGAGGGACCCTCCACTGGAGGTCAGGTGGCGTGACCTGCGTTGACCCCCGAGGTCAGGGTTGGTAGCTTTCAGGGCCTGCAGAACTTTGGCTTGACCCTGGATCTGTTCGCTGATGGTCTGTTTAGGGTTGTAGCCATAGTAACCATCCTCCATCCTCCTCCGGTGCTATGAAATGGTGTTTGTTGGAGTCATCTTGTTTGGTCGTTGTCTCCAATGTGAGCAGAGATTGGTTTACCAACAAGTTTCAAATCTAGGGAAAATAAAAAATGTGGACATTGAGTGCAAAGAAAGTGACACTGAAGATCTGATTCAGGGTTCGTACACTTAGACTAGATCTACACATTTAAAAAATTCCATGACTTTCCATGACTTTCCAGAGCAGGATAATGTAAATTTCCATGACCATTTTCAATGATGAACATGTCTAAATTTAAAGCGTACAACTAAACATCATCGCAATACTAGGAAGCAAATCACAAAACTATAAGTAGGGTAAAGTACTCAGTATTCGGTCACTTAAGGGGAAATCACTAATATTTTGAATTCTTACCTCTTTCATTGGGCAATCTACCCATCAAAAGAAAAGAAATTTATTCCTCTAACAGGATTTTATAGTCACTGAAAATATAGAATAACGATAAGCAAAAGACTTCCGAAAGAAGACGGAGCATTTTTCTGCCCAGAATTCGGTCGCGCCGACTAGAATTCGGTCACGCGATTTGTGCGTGGTATCTCCGTTGCAAAGGAGCGTGGCGTATTTGCGCACTATTTTCACACAATTGCGCGATAAAGCACTGAATGTCAATGCGTTGACCGAATACTGGCTGAGCGATACCGCATGGCAAGGGTATCGTATAAATACCTCTTGCACATCGGCAAGTGCGTCATTTGCAAATTCGCTGCGATGGAGCGAACACGGAAGTGATTCTCTTCACACACATACTAAATTCATTGTGACAGCACACGTAGTTGTTTCGCAATAGACTTCTACATATGGCTATGCATGTTAGCGCATGTGCTAAGAGAACGCGATAGTGCGGAAAGTTGTGCGACACTGACCAATTTCAAGCTAAGTTGGAGATCTTTCCGGGGCCCTAGATTAAATCTGATTTAATTTTGAGAGTTAAGAAAAGTTGTTCAGCTGCCTGATTTGTGCAAGTTTCGTGGCTCATAAATTATTTTTTAAATTGTTACAGCTGTTGAAACGGCTGTCTGACCGAATACTGGGAATAGACCGAATACTGGGCGCGCTACCCTATAACTATAAGGCGCACCCCTATTTCGAAGATCCCCGGTCTTACTCTAACTCTAAGTTTAACTCTAAAATCTATGCCCAAGTCTACTTCAATACTAGGCCTACTAGGTCTAGACTAGGAGTCTAGGCCTACTGGCACTCACAGGTCCTAATGGTGTTAACTCTGCGGGACACGAGTCTCATGACTTGTTCACTCAAATTTCAGACTCACTCGTCTCACTCTCACAGTCATACTCACAGTCTCAGCTATAAAATAAAAAAAACTTGACACGAAATGACGTTAATGGGACTGGAATGAGAAGTAGGCCTATAGTATAAGTAACGAGCTAGATTTATTCTTGTTAGCGCCTTTGTACATTTGTTTTACCATTTTAAACCAGTAATTTTCACTCTTTTTGTAATTATTTAGGGCATATACATACCGGCAACTTCATTGAAGCTCGTCAAGAGAAGATAAATCACGCGGACAACTTAACTTAACTAGCCACTCTTTGCAAATAATGGTCGGTGCGCAAATGAAGGCTTCCAACTCGGGTCTGTTAGCATGCAAGCGAATTCTGATTGCCTGCTTTTGGCAGGCCGCTCTTAGCGCACCGGCGCAGTTAGTAGAACGTACTTGTGCAGTGCACAAAAGTCAGCAAACAGCACACGTTTCAGAAAGAAATAAAATGTCCCATGCAAACGAGCCCCCGTATCCAAGGTAGCTCGAATCTCAAAAAATTTGTTTGACCGTCTGCTCAAATCAAGTTCCCGCTCAAATTGTTGGGAGGAATTAAGAAGCGCGGTACCCCTTCACTCTCAATTTTTCTTTAGTTCCTCTTCTAGTTCCTCTTCCTTCTCTATCCAATATAGATCTAGGCCTACATCGATCTTCTTCTTCTCCTTCTCTCTCTCAGCTCTCTCTCTCTCTCTCTCTCTCTCCTCTCTCTCTCTCTCTCTCTCTAGTCTGTCTGTCTCTCGATCTCTACCTCTCTCTCTCTAGCTCTCCTATATGGTCTTCCTATGTGTTCCCTTTAATTTAATTTCTTCTTTATCCTTTTTTTCTCTCTTCCCTCTCTTTCTCTATATCTTCCTCTCGATCTTGTCTCCCCTCGATGGTTTCCTAATCTTTCTATCCCAAGACGAAAATCCAATTGAAACCAATTGAACACCAATTGAAATTTCAATTGGTTTCAATTGGTTTCAATTGGTCTCAATAGGTCTCAATAGGTTTTAACAGGTTTCAATGGGACCTCAGATGTTTTCAATTGGTCCAGATTGGCCCCATTGGCCCCATTGGCCTAGGCCCCATTAGACTTTAATGGGTCCCCAATTGGTTTCAATTGGTCCGGATTGGCCCCATTGGACAAATTGGCCCCATTGGCCCCATTGGCCTAGGCCCCATTAGACTTTAATGGGTCCCCAATTGGTTTCAATTGGTCCGGATTGGCCCCATTGGACAAATTGGACCCATTGGCCTAGGCCCCATTAGACTTTAATGGGTCCCCAATTAGTTTCAATTGGACCAATTGGCCTTAATTTGGACTTCAATTGGTCCCATTGAAACCAATTGGCCAATTGAAACCAACAAATCTAGGCATCTCATGAATATTCATTATCACTTTACACGTGTCACAGAAAAATAAATTTATCATGATTTGTTAAGCAAATTATGACAATGCACATCAATTTTGTGATTTCTTTATTCCTTCAGCAATTATTAACCAATAGATTATTTTGTCTGATCATGTTACAATTACATTCACGTTTTAGCAATAGATATATTGATTTATATATTGATTAAATGATTACTAACCAAAAAACAATATACATATTTAGTATATATATTTGTACGAGCCAATATCACTGTAAATGAAACTCTTAAATTCACTTCAAATGATCTTTGAGATGAAGTTAATGCAAATGAGATTGGAATATAAATTGGTGGACAGTTGCCAATATCGATTATGAAGTATCAATGATTTATCACTGGTTCTTCTAACTGGATCGATTTACCAATTGAATCCCTACTTATTTTAGTCATGGTTCTAATCACAGTAAAGGAGTTCTCGTTTTGATTGCGCCGAGGATAGATATTGAGATATTGCAAGTCTTAAAAGACAGTGAGGGTAGATATATTTTTATAGACTGTAAGTTTCAAGGTGTTAGGTTGATTTTAGGCAATGTGTATTTTCCAACAAGAAATTTTGAGAGTGATCAATTGCAATTTCTTCGAAAATTACGTAATAATCTGGCTAAGTTAAATAAAGATAACTACCCGGTTATAATAGGTGGTGATTTTAACATGATTAGGGACATTGAATTTGATTATAACGGGAAATCTTCAAACAGGATTTCGAAAAGATTTAATCGAGAATTTGAAAAATTCATGGAAGATTTGCAGCTTTTGGATATTTGGAGATGTAGGCATTCTTTAAAAAGGCAATACACTTGTATGCAAAACAATCCCTTTATGCAAAGTAGACTAGATTACTGGATAATATCAGAATGTCTAGAGGAAATGGTTATGAAGTGCGATATAATTCCATCTGTTGCCCCTGATCATCATTCAATATTTTTACGTTTATTTGACAAAACAGTCAATAAAACGAATGGAAGAAAAGGGTCATATTGGAAATTCAATAATAGTTTATGTGAAAATGAAGATTATGTTAGAGAGTTAAAAAAGAAAATTTGTCAATTAAAAAACGAACTGCAAACTAAAATAAAAGACAAAAGGTTGTTATGGGATTTTTTAAAAATGAAAATTCGGAGCTTTACACAAAAATTTTCAAAAAAATTGGCTGATCAAAGAAGAACAATAAGAACAGATTTAGAAAAAGAAATACAATGTTTAGAACAACAATTGACGGAAAGCACTAATGCAGATACTTTAGAAAAATTGGAAAATACAAAAAAGAAATTAAAGGAAGTTTATAGCTATGTAAATGAAGGAATTAGGATTCGATCACGAGCCTCGTGGTACGAAAGCGGAGAAAGGGATTCGCGTTATTTCAATCAATTAATGCAAAATAACAAAAGAAAGAGTACTATTAAAAAAATTAAAACCTCAGATGGTGCTATTTGCTGCGATGAAAAAAGGATAACTGAAGAAATCCGGAAGTTTTACAGCATGTTGTACAGTAAAGTAGAGTACGAGTGCTCGGATAATTGTTATAATAGTTTCTTTCAAGGTTTACCGAAATTGACTGAAAAATCTCGAGAATACTGTGAAGGATCTATAAGTAATAAAGAATGCCTAGAAATCTTAAAAGAATTAAAACAGAATAAATCACCTGGAAATGACGGTTTTTCTTCAGAATTTTATCGTACCTTTTGGCCGAATATTGGAGATTTAGTTAAAGATGCCTTGAATGAAGCATATAGATTAGGAGAATTAGCATCGTCTCAAAAACAAGCTGTAATTACGTTAATCGCTAAAGATGGGAAAGATCCCTTTTCACTGAAAAATTATAGACCCATTTCCCTTCTTAATGTCGATTATAAAATCTTAACAAAAATTTTGGCTAAGCGAATCAAGAAAGTATTAAATGAGATCATTATGGGAGATCAGGTGGGCTACATGAAAGGGAGGAATATTGGTGAGGCCATTCGCATTATAGATGATATTATTTTTCATACATCCCGTTACAATTTATCTGGTTTTTTGTTAGCTGTAGACTTCGAAAAAGCTTTTGACTCAATTTCACATCAATTTCTTCAAAAAGTTCTGTCGTCATTTGGTTTTGGTCCGTCTTTTCAAAAGTGGGTTAAAGTTTTATACATGAACACTCTAAGTTGTGTATTAAATGAAGGAGGGTCCACTGGTTATTTCAAAGTAGAAAGGGGAGTAAGACAGGGAGACCCTCTTTCTCCGTACCTCTTTATCTTGTGTATTGAAGTAATGGCACACAAATTACGAATAGATAAATTGGTGGACGGAATTAATTTTGGAGATAAGGAAACTAAACTAGTACTTTATGCGGATGATATGACA